GGTGCCCCAGCATTGCCCACCCTGGGAATGGCCCCTGTCCCAGCATGGTGCCCCTTCCCCAGGGCCTGGTAGGGCAGGGGCCGTGTCCGTGAGGACGGGATACTGCCTCGGACCTGCTGGAGCCCCATTGCTCTACCAGGTCCCATGCCAACATGGGGCAGAGGGGAGGGAATAGGACAGGGGCACCAGGCAGGATGGAGATTCCCTCATCTATCTGTCCATCCCTCTATCCATCTGTTCACCTGTCTACCCATCTGTCCATACATCTATCCATCCCTCCATCCCCCCTCATCCATCCATCCATCTGCCCATCCATCTGTCCACCCATCCAATCTACCTATCCATCTGTCCATCCATCCATCTACCCAGCCACCCACCCACCCATCCATCCACCCACCCATCCATTCGTCCGTCTGTCTACCCACCCATTTGGCCATCATCCATCCATCCATCTATTTGTCCATCTGTCCATCCACCTGTCCACCCACCTATCGCCCACTAGAGATGGTGGCAGGCCCCATGGGCCAAGAGCTTCCCCAATACCAGGGCTGAGTGCCTGCAAGCTGACGCTGAGCCCCAGAAGAGACCTGAGCCCCCCAGGAGCAAATCCTGCCCTCCTGGGCTTTAGGACAAAAAGCTATGTTTCTAAAGGAGAAAGAAAGAGAAGCCCCAAATCTTTATACTCTGACCCCAAACCAGGCTGCTCCCAAGCAGCACTGTGAGCTGGCATGTGGGCATCTCCTGGTGGCCATGTTCCGCTGCCTGGGGTGGACACATGACCACCATCCATCCTCTTCTCCCAGTACACCAAGTCTCTCCTCTCCTTTCAAGCCTCTCTATTCCAGTGCTTCCCCTCCCCACTGCAGTCAGGACCCTGCACCTCGTCAGCACATTGGGGCAGGTGCCCGGGGGGCAGGTGCTGGGTGCCTGGGGCTTGCCCCAGAGGACCCACCCCAGCCTGGGGCTCCCTGCCATGCCCCATGGTCCCCAGCAGGGTGCCCCAAGGGTGTCCCGAGGGTGCTGGTGGTGGAGCCCAGCAGGGGTGAGATGCCACCTCCCACGAGTTAAAGAAACCCCGTTGCCATGGCAGTTGGTGGCACTTGCCCTCTTGAGCCCAATAAAAGCGCCCGTTGGCCCTGCGACGCAGAGCAGGCGCTGGGACTCGCAGCAGCGTCGGAGACAAGCCCACTTCGGGGTCCAGGGTCCAGCCGTGCCCGGTCCGTCTGTCCGTCTGCCTGCCCTCGCCTCGCACAGCCCGAAAATGCTGAAGCTGGCGGCCCCACTGCCCTGCTCGCTCCTGCTCCTGCTCATCCTCGCTGCCACCGTGCAGGGACAAGAAGGTAGGTGCCCTGGGACGCCCCTGTGCACCTGTGCCCCAGGGTGCTCTGAGAGGGGTGGCGCAGCCCTCGCAGCGGGCACAGCAGCCAGGACGCCCCCGGTAGGACCCACCTGTCCCCG